GCGACCTACAGGAGTGGGCATTCCTCTTGAGTGTGAAGATGCGTGTAAACTTCCTCGAATGGCCGATGTAAATGTAGGAGCAACGGATGTCATTTTACATTGAAGTGGTTGATGAGCCATGTAACTGCGTCACGCGTAGCGGAGTGTGTCTCTTGTGATGATGCCTGTCCTTTCGTATTTATGAATCTGCCGTTGAGTCGTGAAACGTTGCGTGGTCCCTCCTTGGTGGTGCCCAGAGTTACACGCGTGTCACGTGGCTGATGGGAGACCTATTTCGGTTGACTACTTTTTTAATTGTCTAATTTTACTTTTATGATCTTATATATAAATAAAGCAAGCGTCTGCTTATATTTGTCATGCAACGATAGTCTGTGTCAAGGTAATTCGCTTCGGAGAATTGTACCAAAATAATCCGCAACATCAAATTACAATTTCTGCCTTGTGCCGGTTGGCCCTTTTTGTAATGTGGACTCTGCCACCTCAAAGGAGATGTAACTCTATCGTGTGAACTTTGTGCCAGTTTCGAAGTATGAAAAAATAAGAATATGTTTTACCCTTTCTGCCAATAAAACGGGTGTTAAGATGTTCATACACCAAACAGATGCCCGCATTAACAACACATTGTTGTGGTGAACATGCAAACGAATATGCCCTGATAATATATGACAATGTCTTTGAAACTTATTTGTCGACACCAGAGACAGCCTTCTTTATGGCCGAGTCTCACCGGTGTCAGACCAGAGAACGCCAACAGGCGAACAGTAACACAGCCAATGCACGTAGCAGAGCATTTATGTAACTCTGGTGCCGCCTGCTGATTTGTTACGTGTATAACAGCCTGGGAGGAGCGATGACGCAGTGGTTAGCCCACTGCCCTTTAAACCTGTACTGTGTTTAACTTCTTTTGTACCGTACGTAGCCAAACGTGCTAATCGAGACTTACATCAGTGGCAAGTGATACTGGTAGGAACCTCCTGGTTACACCAGCCCACAGTGGATTATTATGTCCGTCCGTCGTGCAGGTAGGGCCTGGGTGGGGAGGGAAGGGCTAGGTGGGGAGGGGAGGGTGGGGTGGGGCTGGGTGGGGAGGGGAGGGTGGGGAGGGGCTGGGTGGGGCTGGGTGGGGAGGGTGGGGAGGGGCTGGGTGGAGAGGGTGGGGAGGGGCTGGGTGGGGAGGGGCTGAGTGGGGAGGGTGGGGCTGGGTGGGGGGGCTGGGTGGGGAGGGGAGGGGCTGGTCATCCCGTGGTGCCCTTATACAACTCAACGTTTAACCTACTCACCCCGGCTTGTGCCCGCCCTCACAGTCGGGCATATTTGCGGAATACACCACGCCGCTGTTGACCCTGGCCATTGAGCGAGCAACCCAACGTTCCTACCAGCTCCCTCCGCAGGAGGAATGTGTTTCAACTGGTCCAGGACCACCCCACTGCCCTCCCTCCTCCTCCGCCCTTCTCCCCCCTTCAACAATTTGTATTGACCAGCGTGGTGAAGTATGGTCGGACGTGCGGAGGCCTTCATCCAGCGGTGGATTGATAAATGATTGTATTATGCATGACATAGCAGCCTGGTTGGTTACGTGCCAACATTCAGTATGTGATCAAGAAGTTTTAATTAGAAACTAAATAATGTAAAAGCTCCTCTACCTATACCTCCAGTTCCTATTTTAAATATGTATGTGTACAAAAAATCTTAATTAATCCACTGCCGGATAATCCCACGCCGTGCAGGTCGTGGGATTACTTAATATGTACCGTACCAAATCTTACTTTCATGTTTTGCTTTGCATAACACGGGCTAATTTGCCAGTTACTCCTGAGATATATCGTTTTTTTAAAATAATCTTATCACTTTCAGCAGTGTTGTTGTTCGGTCTTGCTTTGGCATTCAATGCTCTGTTAATTTGAGCATGGTTATAGCCATTCATTCGTAGTGCTTCTTTAACATGTTTAATCTCTCCTTAGACTTTCACCATCTGACACTGTTTTTGCCCGATGTATGAGCGTCTTGATGAGAGAGGATTTCTGTGCTGGGTGATGATGCGAATCTGAAAAATACCATATATCTCAGGAGTAACTGACAAATTAGCCCGTGTTTTGCAAAAGCAAAACATTAAAGTAAGATTTGGTACGGTACACAAAATAAAAAAACTAGTGTCTTGTACTAAAGATGAATTACCTAAGTTATCAACAGAAGGTGTATATCGGATCAATTGGTTATGTGGGACGTAACACTAGCGTACGACTAAAAGAACACCAAAGGAACATTCAATTCTCTCAAACACAACTGCCGGCAGTGGCAGAACCTGCTTGCCAAAAAGGACACTCAATTGATTTTGAGAACGTGAGAGAATCCGTCGAAATTGAGAGAAATGCCAATAATTGTAACCGCCCTGATAGCTACAGACTTAGCGCAGCCTGGAAGCGTATTATTAAGTAACACACAATACATATTACAATTCCTTATAGAGGAATCGCATGCTAATTAACTGATTACTAACCTATTATATAATTACAATACCCCCCCCCAACTCCGCTGCACTATTTAAGACCGGAAGCCGGTGGATGGCTTCATTATTCTGGCAAATCGCCCGGAGATGCTGGATGTTATTAGTACCAGAGGTGGGACAAAGTCATTGTTATGCAAGTCCAAGTCGAGTCTGAAGTCATCAAATTCATGACTCGAGTCTGACTCGAGTCCAAGTCACATGACTCGAGTCCACACCTCAGAGGTGGGACAAAGTCATTGTTATGCAAGTCCAAGTCGAGTCTGAAGTCATCAAATTCATGACTCGAGTCTGACTCGAGTCCAAGTCACATGACTCGAGTCCACACCTCTGGTAATTACCAGCGAAACGTCGTACTACTCAAATTCTAAATGTTGTGGATTCACTCTTCAAACACACCGGTGGGCTGAAGAAGTAACTAATTGGCGTTTTGTTAACGTGACACATTTTTTTACTGATTGGCCGTGGCGGGTGGTGGAGGGTTGCAACACATTTATACTTACGCGATCTAACCCAAAAGCCTTTATTATGAATACATGGTTCATGATACTTTCACGTGTTCTTAAAACAACAATAAAGGAATAGACTTCACATTGCTTTTGGGGGTGAATGTCATGGTGATCCATTATCAGATACCCGACTAAATTAATAGACATATGTGTATGGAGCCATCGCTTTCACAATATTTAATTCTAAGTTGAGAGAAACAAGCAAAAGGCTTACTAGAATTTACAGGGCTATATATAAATGGATCACCTCCTAGAACTGGCGTACACTTCCTTCCAAGCATACAGTTAAAAAAGGAAATCGACCAATTGTGGTTTGTAATTATGGCATGAAACTGTCGGTAATTTGCTAACTGTACCTCTACATGAAAGAAGTAGGTGGCCCAAATATCGTAATGACAGGCTTTCAAAGGACTTGTATAAAAATTCGGCCGATATGCCTGGGGCTGCAAGATGTAGCATGCGCATTCTGATGGCTGCCCTCCAATTCCACACCACGGGGTTCAGGTTGCAATATCTTGCCAGCATTGACTCTATTCTCAACAGAGTCGTTGCATTTGTGGCCATGTCGCGTCTCAAACAGACGCTAACAGCTCGCTCAGTGGGGTTCACCTGTAAGATAAAAACAGAAATTTTAGTTTTATTTGTATATTTTGTTAAAGTTATTTGCTTCTTCTTCCTGGTTCTTTCGGTAAAGTCACGTAGAAGGGAAATAATAAAATAATAAAAATAAAACATAATAAAATAATTATCACGACGTATCGGCCACAACGCAAGCAGCTATACTGCGTTGTGGCCGAAACGTCGTGAGAATTATTTTATTATGTTTTATTTTTATTATTTTATTATTTTCCTTCTACGTGACTTTATCGAGAGAACCAAGAAGATGAATCCCTGCAGTCACGAAAGCTTTAAATCAAAATTTATTTGCTTCTCTTTCCTATACTTTGCACTCATATCGTGTTTTTGTACTGTTTGTTGCTGTAACGTTCTGACCCACTCTCTACTGGAAATCTCTGAAAAGAGCTTTATTGCTCAACGGATTCCTCCAGTATAAATACATATTCAGATTCGAATGTGGGCTCCATCTATAAGTGATATGCAATACATATTGAGTGGATGTGTAACTCGGGGTGAAGTGATCCAACCCCCCTTCCACGACCCCATCCCCAAACGATTCAGGACTTCAATTTTGATCAACAATAAATCTATTTATTTATTACATTCCGGTGAATGGTACAGTAGGCCAGACGGTTCAATGATCAGTGTGCTGCTCTGGCATTGCTGCGACCCTTGATTCAAATGCAGACAGGTGAGTCGGATATTAAAACCGGGTTCTTAAGTGTCATGAGATTATGGCCTCCATTCACCAATGACTGCACAAATAAAAAAGAAAACCCTTACATTTTCTTGGAAATGCACTTGGTTTGACAACAGTCTAAACCGGTTTGACTGTCAAGCGACGAATAAATTCTCCTCTGTGGCAGAGGGGTATAGAAGGTGCTACTGCCACACTCCTGCGTTGACCTGTGGTCACTTAAAGGGATGGCAGCAGTTGTTCTTTGATATCAACTTCCACGGGCTGCTCTCTACCAGAAAGGGACGCACTGCTCCGAGGGATCTGAATGGATTATTTATCTCTGGACGGCGACACTGACATTACAGCAATTGTTTTAACATTGTGGGAAAAAAAGACAAAAAATAGCAAAGCGTGGGGGTGGTGAATGGGAGTCATGTGAACCCATGATATGGAGCGTGTAGGAATCGAGAAACAAACCTTTATTGTGAAACGCCATTGACTTCAACGTGTGTTTGATTTTCAGTTTGATCACTTTTTGACTGATCTCATATGTTGCATTAAAATTTGATTCATGCCTTTCTTTAAAGCCGAAACCCATTCTATTGTTCATTCTTCACTTCCTTGATCTTAAAATGAAACATTTAAGAAAATTGACGAGATAATCGTGACATTTCATTGACTTTTATTTGGAAACAACGATTACGACCTATATCTATAAAAACAACATCTTAATATATAAAAACAGTTGCTTGATACTTATTGAGCAACAATGGTACGTGAACAAAATACAGTTCAGTGCATAAATACAGTATGTGATGTAACCGCATCGATTGGCATTTTAATCTCAACGTTAAATACGGTGTGTTAAAAAAGAAGTTATAAAAAGTCGGAATTGCTCAAATGAGTTAGGACAAGATATACACATCCTGTTTGATCGCCTTGAACCGGTGGTAAAAATGCCACGTTCCTGTGGCAGGAGCATGGCGACCTGCACGAGAAGCATTGTTGACCGCCTCTCAAGGTGATACTCATTGCATCAATCCCAAAGGGACGACATACATACATATTCCCATATCAAAATGCATAATCGAATTCAACATTGTATTTGGCAACACATCGGAGAACGTGACATAGCATAAAACATATGCAACATATGTGTAACAACAATAACAATACGTTTGTAAAAAAAAATCAGTTGAAGTGGAATAAGTGCCTAAATGATATTCACCCCTTAACTGTGCGCTACATTAAATATGGCAGTGGCTGTACTGGATGGGAGAAGGGGGTAGGTGGTAGGGGGGGTGCAATTGCCCCCTGCCCCCCAATCGGAACAGGGAGATATGTTTCCAAGGTCAGCCCTGGACAACACTAAAATAACACCTGATTAGCACCCATGAAGAAGACACGCCGTTCTTCGTAGCTGCTCGTAGCCGTGGAGAGGACTGCACCGGTTTGTTCAGAGTTCCAGCAGCAGCAGCCACCGCCACCCTCAACTGGCTTTCGCAAGAGCTTCGTGAACAGTGGGGACACGTTTCATAAAGTACATTTAATTGGGCAAAAAGCAGTCGCGACAAGAGCTATTCTAAATACATCATCTCCCATTGTGTATTTACATTTCTCTTCCCACAGCCAGACACTATGTGACTTGTGTGGCGATTGAGAAACAACTCAATTGCTATGTTTTGCATTCCAAACTTTTGATTACAAATGCCATTAAAAGTGCATCGTGGGGTAATAATCTGCGCTGTGGCACATGTAGACAACGGTCGTATAACCGGAAAGCATTTTTTTGTGTTTTTTATGACACTTTTTTTGGTTCTCTTTGCTATTCAAATTTACAAGAAAGCGTTTAACTGAAAACAATTGTCGGCAGCGTAAGTGGCGCTTGAATAAATCCCCACACCCATTGTGGCAGCAATGGCAGGATGAAAGGACTCCCGTGTCACTTTCCCATATAAACTCACACGTCCGATTAGCACGGTTGGCTACGTACCGTGTGAAAGAAGTTCAACATACATACGCCTACACCTGTACTCTCTAACCCTCCCTATCCTCACCCTTCACCCTTCAACATCCAGATCAACGCAGCCGACTCGTGCCGGTCTGGGGTCAAAAGGTCCCCCCGTGATCATTTCAGGTGGCGGTCCTGAGGCCGTGTTGGATATTCCACACTCCCATGATGCAGGGGCCGTCTGTCCACCAAACAACCTTAGTTGATTTTCCATTAAAACGATACTCGTTTTATCACCCACGGAGAGATGATGGGTTTAATTGACTCTCAGCTGGGATAATGTGGCATACCCCCGGTTTTCCACGTGAAAGAAAAAAAAACACTTGACAGTCTGGGTATTAGGCATGCGGCCAATTCATCTCGCTGAACGGTCTGCTGAATTGCCAGGATTCAGTCTGTGTGGTCAATTCAACTATTCCTTCAGTTTAACGCGCGCGCACACACACACACAAGTTGGTGCGTGCGTCGTAAGCATCGATTGTTCTCAATCGGTGCATCGTCGCATGCCTGTTTGTGGGAAATAGCCAATGCGGTGTTCAAAAATTCCTTCCGTAATAGCAGGAATCCATTAGTACCGTAGGATTAAAGATGTCAAGGTAAAGGCTCAGCCCTGCATTGTCTAGCTCTTGCTGCCGCTTGTGGGCGGACCTCCACGAGAGGGTATTGATAATTCACTGGTCAACAAAGAAAAAACATTTTTTTCTGGCTTGGACTTTTCCAGCTGTTTTAGACTAATTTCAGGGTGCTGATTCCAAATCTGATCTCAGATTTGCTCTATCACATCATTTTTATGCTATCGGCATACCCCATTTTCATTGATTTTACCCGAAATTAACTCTGTCACTTATGATTGCAAGTTGTTGCGAGTCAGTGACTGCTTTAGTGTTAAAATATGGTGCTGTATTTTTAGGATAGTGTGTTTATAATAGCATTTTATGTAGATATCCACATTTATTTCATATTTTTCTTCAGCAGTTTTTATTGAAAATGCAATATTTGATATCTCGAAAACCTGATGTGATAGACAAAAACTGATGCCAGATTTGGAATCAGCACCCCAAAATTACATTAAGACCGTTGGAATACCTTATGCCAGAAAAAGTGTGTTGACCAGTGTAATGAGTATAAGAATATTTTACTCGTTGTCAGTATTGTACAGTGGGCATGTGGTACTCTGCACGTGAACCATGGTCCAGCATCCCTGGGCACACCTAACTTGAATTATGAACAACAACAAAAAAGTCCTTGATGTTTCTGTTCTTTGAATGCTGACATTTTGCTACATTCGTTTCATAAAAACTGCAGGAAATGTTTTTTTAAATCTGACTTCCACATTGTACACGGCTGCATATTGCTTGCGGTTTTATGACTAACAGAACAAGCAGCTGCCTGCATTGGACTGTAGTGGTAAGGGCTCGTGATTTAAGATAGCAATGAAAGGTTATGAGCACCCTTTCACGTAAAACCATGCTTTAAAATAAAATAGAAATGACATTTGAGAGAGACTGAAACAATTTAAGGTAATGCCATGGGTTTACTGCACTTAAATTCAGTTTCTCTTCAGTTATTTTTCTTTGTCCCCATGAAGATCTCGGGCCAGATTAACATCTCAATGGGACGGCGGATGGGAAGGCACATTCGCAAACACACAAATGAAGGCCACGATTTTTTTTTTGCTAACAGTCTGTGAGCAAAGCTGTAATTGAGATTTGAAATCACACGCACAATTATGTTTTGTTCGTCCGATGCAGGTAGTGACTGCTTTGCTTACATGGACTAAATGCTGCTACTTCTCCAAATCCATAAAAACCCCCCTTCATAAACGTAATCCTGTTTTTTTTTAATTCCAAACCAAATATTGGCAATTCGAACACAGCTATCATTCCCGCTTACCCTTTAACCACTAACCCCGCGCTTGACGCGCCCCGTTTTCTGTCACACCGAAAGAAACCTTCCCCGACGGCCGCCGATAATCTCACAGGCTGCTCACGGACACCGACGACTTCTTGATGGACGAAGACTCATCGGACCTCCGCGCCGCTCCTCCGGCGCGGGCCAGGCTGGGCTTGCCCGCTTCCGAGAAGGAGCGGCTCACCTCGTCGCCGGTGCGGCGGCAGCGCAGCGCGGAGCGGAGGCGCCGACGGAACTCGGCCGAGGCGCAGTAATAGACGAGCGGGTCGAAGCAGGTGTTGAGGCTGCTGAAGGCGAGGCACAGCTTGTAGACGCCGTAGAGGTTGCTGCCGCCGGCCACGCGGTGCATCAGCGAGTGCGCCAGCAGCACGCAGTTGCAGGGCGCGAAGCAGGTGACGAACGTCGCCAGCACCACCACGGAGAGCTGGGCTGCGTGGCGGCGCACGTGGGCGGCCCCCTTGCTCGCCGCGGCACCACCGCCGCCGCCGCCGCCAATCAGCAGCGAGCGGATGATGGCCAGGTAGCAGAAGACGGTGACGGAGAAGGGGACGAGGAAGACGCACGCGAAGAAGACGACGCAGTACGTCTGGAAGAACGACACCACCGAGCCCATCTTGGGGAAGACGTCGTAGCAGGTGGTGATGCCGAGCTGCGGCACGTCCATGGTCAGCTTGATGAAGTTCAGCGGCGAGGCGAACAGCAGGATGATGACCCACGTGCAGGCGCTGGCGGCCACGGCGGTGCGAGCGCCGCGCAGCCGCTGCGCCCGGTGCGGGTGCACCACGGCCAGGTAGCGGTCCACGCTGATGCACGTGAGGAAGAAGATGGAGCAGTGGGTGTTGAGGTAGAGCAAGGTGGTGACGAGGTGGCAGAGGGGGCGCCCGAAGGGCCAGTCGTTGCCCCGGAGGTGGTACGCGATCTGCAGGGGCAGGAAGGCGAGGAAGAGGAGGTCGACCGCGGCGAGGTTCATCATGTAGATGTTGGTGGACGACGGAGACCTGCTGGCCCGGATCCTGCCGCAGAGCATCCAGAACGCGGAGACGTTGGTCGGGAGGCCGATGAGAAGGATGACGATGTAGATGGCGGGCAGGGCCATCGTGGTGAGGCGGCCCGTGAGCACGCTGGCGGTGAAGTCGTCCAGGGTGACGGTGCCGTTGGAGCTCGAGTTGTCCGTCATCGCGGCGATCCGTCTGCGGCAGGGACGAGTGGCCGGGCGACAGAGGTTATATACACACACGCACACACAAGATGCAGCCAGATGACGAACAACTGGTCTGTGTTTGTAACACCTACACACTCGTGGCTTCCTGCTTCCGCATAAAACCACTGCTGCTAATTAATTTCCTTAACACGAAACACATCTAATCTTTAACACGTAGGCTTTCGCGACCAATGTCATCCATAATAGAGGTTTTTTTGGGGGTTAGATCGCGTAAATATATAAATGTGTCGTTAAAACCCGCCACCACCCGACACAGCCAACTAGTAAGGGTTGTCACGTAAACAGAACGTGCCAATTCGTCACTATTACAGCACTAACCGGTGTGTCGGAGAGCCAAGTCACAACATTTACAATCTGAGTACGACGTTTCGCCAGTAATTACAACCAGCTTCATCAGGCGACAGCCAGATTTGTGGTGACCACGCAGCTGCGCTCGTGCACAATGTGGGGACTCCTCCACTTACGAGCGAGTTAGGTTCCTGAGGTCTGTTCATAGGTGGATTTGTGCGTAAGTCCAACTTTACTCCTGTCGTCGATTCCAAACGTGTTGTACGCCGTGTTCATTAAACACGGGCAATGGCTGTAAAAGTTGCATAATCTCCTGTAGATGTAGACGCCACCCGTTATTCATGTTCTGCAGTTGTAGATGCCACCACCGCCATCTATTGCGTGGGGGTTGAACTTACGAGTCTCGGCCGGAACAGGCAACTGGACGTATGGGCAGCTTTGTTCATATCTCTGAAAGTTCGTAAGTCGAATGTCCGTAAGTATAGGAGGCCCCTATCTTCTCTACGAACATCTGTCCGACGGTTTTCATTTTCCTAGCACGTTGCTCTCTCGCTCGCCTTGCGCCTCTTTGCTTCATCGCCGTGATCCTCGACCCGGCCTTCAATAACTGCACGAGCATCTTAACTTTGCGGCTGTGTCCCCGTCAACAATTATAAAAAAAAATCTTCAGTCACCCCTTTGTGGTGCATGGCCTTTGCGCTTCTCTTGTTTACGTTCAGTCCAACTCTGCAGCCGTCACCGTTAAGTCATTACAACAAGCGGTGCGTTCGTAATATGTATTCAACATACGCGTGAGTTCTAGATTTGAAGCTTTCGTGACTGCAAGGATTCATACTCTTTGTTTTTTTCGGTAAAGTCACGTAGGTAAAATAATCAATAAAATAAAATAAATGAAAACAACTAAATTAAATCACGACGTTTCGGAGGCAACACAAGCTGGATGAGGGCCGCCCCCCCCCCAATGCCGCACCGTGTCACGTGACTCTTGTGACCATACTTCACCACGCTGGTCAAGGCGGGAGGAGCATGGACGTTGGAGCAAATAGTTACCATTGCAACAACGAATTTATTCTTTATATACAGGGCGCTTCAAAAATATGTTAACACTTCCGACAATTTGCGACAATAGCGCAAGAAATGTGCCTCCGTGCTATGGAGACCACCTGGAGAAGATTCCAGGCACGCGTTGACAACGATGGCGAACAAGTGGGAGACTCTTTGACTTCTTGAAGCTCTTAACATCACATTTGTTATCATTTTACAGTGCAGTATTATTATCCCTTCTAATTCTATTCACAACGATAGTCCCATGTAAGTGTTAACATTTTTTTGAAGCCACCCTGTATTAGTGACCCAGACTCGATGATTGTGCACCTCGTTAACGTCCCACGATGCGTCACGTGCCATGTGTCACCGTGACGCCACACCCTTTCGGCAGGAAAGAGACAGGAAGGTCAATGCTGGATCGCCAGAGGGAGGAATTTTTTTTTTGTACGACCAATGGAAATGTTGTCCATGCAGTGGTGTAATCTCTCAACCAGACTCATTCACATCCTTCATTGGGCGCAGGAGACCTTAACACGTCAACAGCACGTGTTTCCACCTCCCCACCATCCTCTCCGTAATTAGTGTTGGATGTGCAGCGCCACAACCCACGCAGTGTAATCTCACGTGTGTGGTTATCGAAATGGGAAGTTTCCAGCGTGTGACCAGAAACAATATGAAACTATGTCTGAAACTGGCGATGGGTTTCTCTTGTCTGAATTAGACGTCGTTTTTGTTTTGTTTGTTCGGTCTGATGGATTCGTCCGTGCAGCCGTTTTGAATTTTGTGCATTCTACCTCCCTCCGTATGTGTACCCATCAACTAACATGTGTAATAACAGTGAAAAGTCACTTTTCTAAAAGCGTTATTCCTTTGCGGAAACATTCTATTTGGTTTAAAGCTGCGCAAATGATCGATGAGAGTGAATTGAGAAGTTCTAAAGAAATACTGTTGCGTGTCCCGTGACTCAGTCGCGACTCTGAGCGGTGATGATTGGTGCTGAGACGGGCTTTAGAAATTCCGCAAAATTGCTGCTCATTTTATTACCCCAGAAGGGGTGATCGGTTGAGTAGACCATCCTTAATGATTTTCATTTACAACATTTCGACTGTGAGATTGGCATTTCTCAACAGCATCAACTATGAATAATGTTTTTTTCCGCTAAAATTCCGTCAAGCTCTACGCGGTGAGGGTGGAGCGGTGGCACAGTGCTTGGCGCACTGCACTGGCGAGTTTGATTTCCGGCCACGAGTGATATCTGAACCGGGCCCTGGGTCCCTCTTCACCGATCTGCATTGACCGGCGTGGAGAAGTATGGTCAAATAACCATCGTAACCCACACAGCACGGTGAGGCCTTCAAACAGCAATGGATTGATAGAGGGATTGTGCTTCATATCATACACAACATCATTGTCTCCCACCATTCAAAGTGCTCTCCTACACTTGTTTGAGCATGTCTATTTTATGCACACAAATGAGTCACATTACTGACTTCAATCGTCACCATCCTCGACTCTTCACATTGCAAACCGCATACCGACGGCAACAAAGCATCGCCCGTTATTGGAAATTCACTTTCAGGATAACAAAAAATGTATCCACTGACTCACTGGTCTAGCCGTTTTTTTCTCTAAAGCAGGGGTCGGCAACCAAAATAACAAGAAGAGCCATTTCTTTCCAATTCGGTACAAAATTCAGTATTTCAAGAGCCGCAATGCATCTGAGTACATACTCTGTACTCATCGTCAAGAAGCAGCCCGTAAAGAGCCGCATGCGGCTCCGGAGTCGTAGGTTGCCGACCCCTGCTCTAAAGTAACCATGCAGAAAGCCATCCATGTGTATCGCTCATGTACGGCTATGATTATCACGGTTGGCTACGTACGGTGCGAAAGAAGTGCAACATGCATACATAGGCGTGAGTTGCTCTGTTCGATGAACAACCGAAACTAACAACCACGCGCATGGCACCTCTCTGGGCAACTACCTCCACAATTACGTGGATCTCCGTGTCCTCTCTGTTCACATCTCTGTGTGTCTCTCTCCGTGCCTCTCTCCGTGCCACCTCAATGTATCTCCCCTGTGCTGTGCGTGTGTGTCTGTCTCTAAGAGCGGTGGTGTAGCGGTTAGCGCGCTGCGCTATGAACCTGGCGACCCGGGTTCGATTCCCGCTCACGGCTAACACCAGTGACGATTATCTGAACCAGTCCTGGGCCTCCCCTAGGTCGACTCAGCCTTACATGAGTACCTGGTGCGGTGTGTAAACATCGCCACTGGGGAGACAAAGGCGGTCGGGCGTGGTGCTAGCCACCCACCCCTCGTTCGTGTACCGTTCCGGCACTTGCCCCTACAGTCTGTTAAGGCTATACCGGGGATCTTTATCTTTGTCTCTAAGAGCGTCTCTTCTCCCCGTCAGCAGTGGCCTCGCTTAGTGTTGACGCGGCTCTTACCTTAGGAAGGAGCCACCATCACCCCATCTGACCACATCACTTCACTCGGGATGCCAAAGCTGTGTGTCCCAGGGATAGCCTTTCAGCTACGCATATGAATTAATGGCAGACGCTTTGCTTCTCGTACATACACATCACTAACTGCTCATGGTTTTTGAGGTCACAGGCGGGCAGTGACGAGCACACCTATTCATACTCACGAGTGGGAGAAGCTGACCCAAAAATTGTACTTCCAACCGCCTCCCCACGGCAAGCGGCGGAACGACCAGGCACTTAAAAAAACACGGCACCTTCCAGTGAGAGCAGAAGCCACAGGTGTATTAACAGTTGAAGGTAGAAACCTGAAACTGCCCAACCCAATGCCTGTGCTTGCCTGTACAGTAACGTAGTTGCTGGGTTTTTTCTTCTCTCGAAGCCTAAAACATTCCAACATTGGCGTTACACTAAAAGGTAAGGGTGCAGCCCTGCAATTGCTCGCTCACGTCACTGGTGGTGGGAGGGCCTCCACTACAGGTAGCCCTAGAGGGCCTCTTTAGCGGGGTACTTGGCCTACTCTTCCACACTGGCCACACTGGGACACAACTGGCAACCTCTGGAATCCACGTCCGGTGTGCCGACCATCACACGATGGCAACATCCCTAAGTATTACAGTACGTCGCATTAAGTATTACAGTACTCGCTGCTGACTGAGGTATCAGACGGATATGTGAACATCCACAGCAATTGACAGTTACAGCACCATGCACCAACACTGCGCTGGGTGTGGGCGGTCGACCGGCTACGATGGGATGAGTGACGGCCAGAGATATACGACGTTGCACCGCGTTTAAAAGTAGGTACAATACCTGCGCTCCCAACGTGCAGGTGTCACCTTCTGGTCGATGCCACGGAAAGTCAACTTCCAGGCGTACTAGCAGCGGTGGAGTCTCTTCTTCGCGCCTTCTTTCACCTGTGAGGCTGGCTGCATCAGTGATCCCACGGATTACTAGCGCCGGTTGCCGATTATCAAAGGGGCTGTCTATGGCTCGGATATTAAAGCTTTCGTCAGCCCATGGGGAGGGAGGGATATGCATGTTACAGCCTGCCTTGTTTTTTTCGCCCCGAAATATTTGAGCAAAGGGTCTCAATGTCTCTTCCTCACGCACAGTGGACTTGCAAAGCGGCGGTTTTGCCGGTTCGATCTCCCGGCGGGGACGTTAAAACAATGGTACAAGTCTCTTAAATCCGACTAACACCCACCACCCCACCACCCCCCTCCGCATCTGTCCGCCCAGCAGTATGAGGTGCATGTGCACACCACACTTTGTCGAGCGGCAGGTCGTGTGTGGTGGGGTAAAGTGTGGGTCCTGCCACCTCTGCCAAGACCTCTGGATAGCTTCAAAGAGTTGGCCAAACGCCCTCTCGAGGGACTCTGTAAAACTCCCTGGAGTGAATAAGAAAAAAAAATACATAACAGCCAACGTTTCGGGCAATGACCTTCTTCATTGCACATAGAGAGGCCAGAAAAGGTGACCAGGGCAATTACCTTTGGGTCAATCGCCCTTTAACCTCTCCCTAGACACGACCTCTCTGGCCGATGTGCTGTGCAGAAGAGTCATTGGCCAAAAAGTTGTCCCCTATTATGCACTGTTTCTTTGTGAGGAAGTGTTATTGACGAATGTGTCGAGTTGTTGTTATTGTTGTTGTTATTCGTGCGTGTGCACCACATCCAATGCAGTTATCACCAACAATGCTATATTACATTTTTTTTACTTAAAACTTTCGTGACTGCAGGATTCATATTCTTGGTTCTTTCGGTAAAGTCACGTAAATAAAAAAAGAATAATATAATAAGAAAAAAATAAGAAAATAAAACGAATAAATTGAGAATAATAAAATTAAATAAACCACGACGGTCTTCATCAGGCGGAAGACTGCTTGCGTTGCGATTGAAACGCCGTGGACTTTTTGCTTTAATTATTCTCAATTTATTATTATTTTATTATTTTTTATTTTATTTATATTTTTGAAGTTTTGTTTTCTATTTACATATTTTTGTTTACGTTGTTTGTTCTGCCTGGAGCGAGGGACGTACAGTCACGTGCGGGTTTACTAGTTTATTTAAGAAACAAAAGTGGCATGAGGGTTGTGAACAAAGAAAGAGAGAGAGAGAGAGAGGGGGGGATGGGGGGATTAGGACGCGGACACGCTGGGAGAGACGAGGGACAGGGCTAAGGCAGACGAGGTGGAGGCGGAGGAGGAGCGTCCTGGCGCAGAGAGAGAGAGAGAGCGAGAGACAGAGGGGAGGAAGAGGAGGGGGAGCGAGGCGGTGAGGAACGGGAAAACACAGCCGACGCGATACCGCGTGAGGCAAAGACCGGAGCGTGGGTCAATCGAGTTGGGCCCACGACATCTTCCTCGTATCGTAGGCGCGTTGCGCGGCGAATATGTTATCGATTGCTCGGGTGCGTTTGGAAATTTGTTCCGAGGTACAAGCGTGTGACAATGAACTCTGCGAACCGGAGTCGACGGCTTTGATCTCGGTGGTAGCCGTGCCAGTGACGGGAAACGCAAGTCCAGTGTGCGCTGCACCATTGCTGCACGGTAGCATTGTAAAAAACAAACCAGTACGAATTAGTAAATCCACGTGTAGGATGAAAACCTCCCCACAACGTGCGGTTCACGTGGGGCGATTGAACCCGCGAGATAAACTTTGCACAACGCAAACCTCGACCTTGCACAATGTTTGGAAAGCCGCACGGGGACTGCACAAGAATTTCACAAACATCTCGCGAAAGATCCGACGCAGAATTTCCCCGAACTTCGATCTTCCGTTCGAAGCCGGCGCACCACAACCCCTAAAACCCGCATCCACTGCACGTTGAACTTCTTTTGCACCGTACGTAGCCAACCGCGCTGATCGGAAGTGCGGATACTTGCTGTACGAATAGAAAATAAGTCATATTAAAAAACACTTTTTTTAAAACACGCTTTTATGAAATGTACTAGTAATGGCAGAACTTTACGACTCCAGGTAGTGGCCCCGAAGCTTGCCTTAACGTAAGGGACCGTGGCCAATTACAGCCAACGTCAGTTGATCGTGGACAATTAGACCCAAGCCGAAACATAAAATATACAAAATAATGTAAAAAAAAATGTTTATGCTAGAATATAGTATTGTCATCAGTATGACATAAGTATACCAAGTTTGCAGTCGATACCACATTGGTAAGTGGGTTAAAATTGAGTTACAAGATTTGAGCATACAACAACGACAACAACAACAGACAGAGTGAGTTAAATGAAAGCGTGTAAAATCACTCTCCAGCAGTGTCGCGACCTGTGGTCAACCCAGACCAGAGACCGTGTAAGGGGTCACGACTCGGAGGAGGCATCATCGTCGCAGCGATGCACGAATACCGCTACTTCTGGAACAATCGTCTGTCGCAGCCACCTCCGTTGAAATTAGAATCGTTTCTCGACATCCACATCAGCCAAACGACGTTAGTTATCGGATCATGCTTTGTTCCTGGTGCAGAGTGGTGGGGGGGGGGGTAGTTAGTTGGAGGACAGAACCGGTTTAGATGAATGTGTTTGCTGGTGATCGCTGAAAGTGGAATGCAAACTTTGGTCAATGGGTGACAGCTAACTTTGCTAACCACTCCGCCACCGATCCCACGGAAAACATTACACGGTTTGATTGGCACTCTTGGCATTTTCTCTCTCTCTCTAAATATCTGCTATTCTACTTCATTTCAAAAACATTACACAATGCTTTCATATGCACCACAATTAATCTGCTGTTTTCGCATGCAGCTCCAAGTCTACATTGTCACTTCGCCTAGATGGATGCGTGTTCAGCTATTATAATAATCATTTTATAAAGCGCATTTCATACCGATGGAAGCATATCGCGATGCCTCCACTTTGGAATCTCCCGGCGAGCCAGGGAAATGGCACCTCTTCGACCCCCCCCCTCCCCACGGGAAAAGAGGTTTCACAACAATCTGTGCGGTGATCCACCAGCCCTCGCTGCCTCCACAGTGCTGGATGACAGGCGGTCACGTGCAGCAGCAGCAGCACAGCATCCACCCCGATCCGTGTGTTTCCACCAGCTGCTGTTGCCGGCCCTGCCAGCAGTCAAGGGGTTAGATTAATTTTTAAAGTGCGTGTCAGTTCCCGGTGAAGGTAATCCACATGAACTACAGTGTACGAAGGTTGGGGAAATTCTTGGTATTGCCATTTCAAGCTAAATGACCTCAATGGGGGTTTTTTTGTGTGTGTGTGGTACTGCGTTTGTAGCGGTGCACACACACAAATAAAAAAAACTCCGCACATTATTCAACCACACGGCCCCAAAGAGGAAAAGTACACGTGTGACGTTTGAAGCAATGGTCCTACTTCATGCCTAAAGCGTCAACTATTATGTACGGTGTATTTTTGTTCCATCTCTAGGGCAGTGTTATTGACGAATGTGTTAATGGTCAATGATCTCACCGGACATTACACGAAGAGAAGCTTCGAGACTGGGACATCGATTAAATAGCGAAAGGATGAACTCCCTTTGCTCGCAATCTTTCAGAGTTAAAGGGGCTCACGTGATGGTCCTTGACTTCACCTGTCAGAAGACTCTCGGGGTGCATAGCTTCACGCGTGCGGTGCCGAGTCGGACGAGCTATTAAGGAATTATTGTACTCGCGGCGCCTTGCCCATTGCTTTCGCACTCCAATTATAATTGGGTGATCCTGTTGGCACATACTGTTCGAACGTGGGGGGTGGGGGACCTCATGCAAAGACCGGGTTAGTAGTGTGCCACGGTGGCGAGATGTTAACTACCTCGCCTGGTATACAGGAGGTCGTGGATTTTTGATCCCCATCCTGACGATGCCTGCTGTATATTTTGAGGTCGCATGTCTCTCTCCCCGTGGTCGCATGGATTTTTCTCCGGGTCCTCCGGGTTCCCCCCCCCCCCCCTCTACATTTAGACTCAACATCGGTCGTTTTGAGTGTTTGGCTGCTCTACGTTCCACACGATCAAGGCCACTTTTCGTTGAGCCATCATTTGTAGCCAAGTCGCTTCTAAAAAAAGATCTACATCGCTCAGTTGTGCCCTTAACCTGTTAAACTAAATATAAATTATATTCTTGGTTCTTTCGGTAAAGTCACGTAGGAGGGAAATAATAAAATAATAAAAATATAAAACAATAAAAATTCTCACGAAGTTTCGACTGCAACACAAACAACATCAGCAGGTGCAGTCGAAACGTCGTGAAATTTTTTGTTTTATATCTTTTTTATTTTATTATTTCCCTTCTACGTGACTTTTCCGAAAGAACCAAGAATATGAATCCCTGCAGTCACGAAAGCTTTAAATACAATTTTAAACATAAATTGTTTCATAATCTTTGCTTGTGTTGCGATCAAAACGTCGTGATCTATTATTTTTCTACCTACGTGACTTTACCGAAAGAACCAAAGAGTATGGATTCCAGCAGTCACGAAAGCTTCACATCAAGACAGAAATAGTTTCGTTTGAGCGAATCGGCGGTGCGATTCCTCCATGTTACCACCAGGAGGCGCTCTGTGTTCTCGAAAGACTTCACTGCCTTTCCTGCCTTGTCACTCGTGAAATTAATTCACCCGGAGGAACCTGCGGGAGACCGTCAGAAAATTGGTTTGCAGAGGTGAAAAAGGGGGAGGGGGAGCAGTATTGACGACGGGCGTTGGGGGAGGAGGTTCTTTTAGAAAGATGACCTCATACTGGTGTCGGTTTTTTGCGTGTCTTCTTCTTCAAGTGGGTGACTCGTAAAGGCCTCGCTGACAAGGCGCGCGCGTGTCTGCATGTTCTCGTGTCAGGATCCCATTCATCATCGGCATCATTAAGCCAGATCATTCCACTGCTGGATGAAGGCCTCCCCAATTCGTCGCCTGCGATGTAACAATCCTGCACGAGCTTACTTCATGGCTCCGTCTCCCCGCGTTAACGTACTCTCCGCCGTGTCCCTTTCCTCGGCCGCCGCTCCGTTCTTATTCTTGGCCATCGCCCATCTGTCGTTTCCAGCGACGCGTCCTGCCCAAGCCTAATTTTCTGAACAGTTAGAATGATGCCATTGACCTGCGTATGATCTCTTATCCGTGTGGAGGTCAATGCAGTGTTCTTCACTCATTTTCAGAGGTGGCCCATCATCATCATCAGTGTGAGGGCCGCCACACAT